CAGTTTGAAATTCCGCTCGGATCAATCATCTGAAGAACACAAATAGTAGATGGAGTTGGCGACAAGGAAAATCAAGAGTTCAATGTAGTTTAACTTTCAAATAGATGAACAGTGATTGATGTACTGACATGAAATAGAGTTGGCAGGTAGTGTTCATCTGCATAGCAGTTTCGCCCATCCATATTTGGCTGAAGAAGTAAAAACAAAAAAATTAACAGCAAATAAAGGAAAATCATAAACACAGAAACCAAGAAAGCAGGGTTGCCCTCTTAATAACCACTACATGAAGTCACAACAAAGGTCCTCTTTTAACCAACTGAAATGTTCAGCTCATTTGTTGATAATATCTAAATCATTCCATAAATCCTTTTTAGTACAAAGGTGAACAAAAGGGAACAAAATCCAATCCACAGCAACTATAAGGATCTGAAAGCAAGAAGTACAAGTAGAAGCAGAAAGCAAACTTGATTGATCTACACAACAGCTTAGTATTTTACGAATCATATTCCTACATGTGCAAACACAGGGCCTCTAGCCATGCATAGATGACCCTCAGCACCCCATGAAAATATCATTTATTTCTTTACTGACACCATACACTAATTATGTTGAAGCAAATAAACAATACAGATTTAAGCCACAGTCGAATCACAAGAAACATAAGTATCTAGAAGATTCAAATAGAAATAGGTCAAGTAGTTTATTTTCTCTTTTTTGTTTGTACGTAAGCATACCAGAGGATTTGAAACCTACACACACAGATTCAAGACAAAAATTCTCAATGGATCAACAGCATATGCTACAAATACTGAAACGACAAAGCCAATGCTGATATTACCTTGCAGTAAAACTTGAATTTTCTGTAGAAAAGATTGTCTGCCATAATTACTATAGCATGCTGCCGTTTCATGGAAAACCACTGAAAAACAGACATGAATGAGCCTCAATGATATCTGTGAATGTAATTTCATTGTCTAAGCAGAAAATTGTCTAAGATAATTCTCAAAAGATGCAAAAAAGTAGCATATTTTATGTCTTCAGAAGAGATGAGCATATAAATAATTCTCTACTCTCCAGTATAGAAATTCAGGCCAGCCGTCCTCGCACATAAGTGCAAGGGTAAAAAGGCCAAAAAGAACTTTCAAACTTAAATACCCTGACATGGATTCCATATGGAAGTATGCCTTGATGAGAGAAGGTCAAACAAGTCTAAACCTGTTATTAAAGTAAGATAGCAATAAACGCATGGTATATAATCAATATGGTCATGCAGTTACGAACAGGCAATATATATAGGATATGGATTAGCCACATTAAACCACCATGTGAAATAAAATTGGTGATATATCCTGTATGGATAATGCCTAACATCAGAGGGCTTATATGAAAACCGTACATAAATTTCAATCCTTTGTAGGCTACAACTAAGATCCAAGTTTTTACATCAAACAGATGTTCATATGCTAAAAGAAATACCTGAGCACCCTTCCGGAAATCCTTCTTTTCAAGTTCAGGCAACATATGTTCTGAATACCTGCCACTGCCATGTGGACCAGGGTCCTCAAAACTGGAGATAGACAGAGAGTCAACCAGGAGACAAAAGTAATTTAAATGCCAACTTTATAGTAAATTTACTAAATCTGTGATACTAAATATGAAGCTAGCTAGGAAGAACTTTCTTAAGTTCAACAACATGTTAGAAAAAGGCTTCCTTTCGAAATACATAGCTGCTTACCAATCAATGTAGCTAACATTCGTATACATCAGGTAGTTATACACGTAGTCAAAGTTGTGCAGCGGTACACAACTGAAAGAAACAAATAAAGTTTAAAAGAATTAGACAAAATCACACCATATAACAAGAAGCACAGATTCACATACAAGAAATAACAAGAAAATATGTAAATCAATCACCTATCAGACAGCAAAACAAATTGCTGGTTATCAGCATCCAGAAGTGCATGTGCCAACAGTCTCTTCTCTGCATCAAGCATAGAAATTTTTCCCCAGGCTACCTGAAGGGAATATGCTCATCTTAATAATTATCCGCAGATCATAAAGGTCATCAGCAATGCCGACAATTAAAGACAACCTCCAAGCTTCTCAAGGATTCACATATCAAGTGAACAAATACATTATTATTTACAAATAAATCATCTATTCTTTCCACTTCTACAAAACAAATATACAAATATACCACCTGCACAAGAGTGATTTCAAACAGAACTCTCTCATGTCCTTTAACTTGTAGTCTTGACCACATGTTGATATCATATATATCATAAAAACAGACCATCAAGCTAAGGCTACATAATAGCAATTCTGCATTTAATTGAAATGTATGTTATAAGTCCCTCTGTGTACCTTCTCACTATGAATATCACGGCCAACAAAGTAACGGCTCACGTGCACAGGTTTCTGACTAGATGCATGTACATAAACAGAGAATCTGTCCTCATGCCCCTGTTGAAGAGCATAAATCACATCATTTTGTGTGCAAGGAAAAAAATATGTCAAAATAGCTACTGAAAGAGCTTTTGTTGAATTTGAGAAAGAAAAGAAGTAAACTTTATATTCTGCAAGCAAAAAATGAAAAGTACCCAATAGAGATCTAAACTACAACAAAATATTTTGCAAGTACCAAATCATTGCGTTTTATTGGTTTTAATAATAGATTAGGCAGTTCGTAATTTTTGTTATACTGAAAAAATGAACAAGCAACTGAATTTTAGAGGCAATATAAATTATTACGATAAGCATCACTCGATCGTCAATCTGTTCTTGAATCTTTTATCAGCCATAAAGTTCCATAACCTCACTTGAAAGAGAAACCACCAGATTCATCAAATTTCATTGAGGAGCAGTCTCTTGTGTACCCAAGGAATCAAGAATCTAATGATTATCTTGAACTTATCTCATAGCCACAAATTTTACTATCTCCCATGACCACAATGTGAAATTTTAATGATAAAGCATTAGCCACTTGATGTTCAAAGAAACTTCACATTTCCATTCACAACCTATCTCATCTTTGAAACAAAATCAATCAGTACGCCACATTCACAAGCTTCATAAATGTAACTAAGTATCAGGACTTCTGATCTGAATTGGCCGTTATATAAGAATAAGTTGCTATTCCAAGCATCAAATTGTTAGGAGGTCAAGATGGAAATCTTAACTACTGGTAAGACAGCTCAAACATTCTCTAAAAAGTAAGAAGTCCCAGCAAAAGCTATTATATTCAACCAAAAACACTATATCCAAGAAAAACAAAAGGCTAATTCGGCAACAAGCATATATTTAAAATCTTAATAAAAGAGAGTTTGTCATTTAATGCAAAGAAAAGAAACATAAAAACAAAGCCTTACTTGAAAGAACTTTTCCCACAGCTTCTCAAAAGGCAAAGTCCCAGGAGTCAAGAACAAGAAAGCAATTTTTGGGTTCTTGGACTGAACAGGAGGTTTCCTCAGAAGTTCATTAATTACAACCCAAGCTATATTCTCATGATCAGTGAGTTCCCTAGCAGGAGGAGACACAGGTAAATTGAGCATAGTACAATCCTTAGAAGAAAAGAAATAGCACGCCGCGAAGCTTCTTGACGGGAAAACAACATAGGCACCAATCAGAAAAAGAATAACCAACGAAACAAAGAAAATGATCCAAATTGGCCTCTTCAAATGCGCCCGTTGCTGTCGCGATCCAGACATGGCTAGAAGATCTCTTCTGGCCAGCTGCCATGCACCAGCTGTCTTCATTTATGATTATTAGCACCGCAATCATAACACATCTTTCAAGCTTACTACCAACTACACTATTATGAAATGCGAGAAGAAAGAACACTGTACCTCCACCAAGTTAAGAGCCACTGGTTTCTATCATCAACACGCAAGAATCTGAAACGTTTCAACGCATGAATAAATAAATCGCCGATTATATCAACAGAAACTTGAACTAAATACGAGCGTAATCCAAATTCATTATACAATCAAACTAAACTATCACTCGAATCCTAAAATAACTTTAAAATCAAATGATTACGAAACACGTAGTAGAACGTGATTGGCGATACATTTTCCAACAAATCAATCAACGGTCCTGATTCAGTAGAAGAGGAAATAGTACCTGTGATTAAACGAAGCAGACGATTACGTACGCGAATTCGCCAAGCGGAGATCAATAGTTTCAAGAAAGATGATGTAGCAAATTGAAATTAGAATCCGATTAGCGTAAAAATAGAGGATTAAAGGAGTACTATTATTGAACAAGGCCTTAGTCAATGACTTAATGCTCTCAAAGTGGAGTTGGATTCAATTTATAACACAGTTCAGCTTCTACCAAAGGTAATTTACGACCAGTATTAAAAAAGATTCTATATCTCTACACTATATTAAATTCAACTTAAAAAAATAAAAAATTATTATTGAATTAAAACTTAAAAATATTTATTTAAATTCAAAAAGAAAATAAGACAGAATATCCCAACCCGTAGTACTGTAGACAATTAGTTCGGTGTATTAAACTATTAATTAAACGTTCCGTATAATACTTTTCTACATTAATGTCAATATTTCTTTTCACATAATTACCCTCAATTTTGATAATGAATAATGGTGAGGACTTTAGTGCAATGAAATTAGGTGAGAAGGTAAGTGTGTAAAATTTGTTAACATTCATAGAACTGCTTAGGGGTAAAATAGCCAAAAAATAGAATTGATTATTCTGTTGAATTTTATTAGTAAATTAGTATTATTTAATATTAAAAAAATAATTATAATTAATAAATTTGGCAAACCAAATGCGACTCAGGACTAGGCTTTAAGCCCATACCTGCTTTGGACAAACACCAAGCCCAGTCAAAGGATAATGAAAAACAAAAATCTGCACACGTGGAAGAAAATAAACCGGTAGTCTAACACATGTGGGCCCTATTCTGATTTCAGCCGACGTGGCATCACTTAACCAATGGGGTGCTAATAATTCGCAAAATAATCCTCTGCGTATCTATCAACTTCTGCCTCAGCATCGCATTTGCTCCATCTCCATGGCGTGTTCTTTTTCTCCAGCACTGCCATCTTCTGTTTCTAAACCCAACATCTCAAAAGCTTCTGTTTCAAAACCCTCAAATTTGCCTTTAACTGTTTCAGTTCCATGTGAGAAACGTCAAAGCAAATCATTGAGAATCGTGAGAGCTGTTTCAATCTCAAACCCAGAAGTGAGAACTGGTCCTGATGATCTGGTTCAATCTATTCTCTCCAAGGTTCGATCCCTATCAGAAAAATTCATTTTATTTGCTTTTTTTTACTGTTATGATGAACTTCATTTGATTGGTTCTTGATATTTATCTTCACTGTCGGAAAATCTGAGTTGTAACTTTGAATCAGGTGATACAAACAGATAGAGGAGTTTCACTGACTAAAGAAGGACACAAAGAGGTTGCTGAAGTTGCTCAGGAATTGCAGAAATATTGTGTTAACGAACCAGTCAAATGCCCTCTTATATTTGGAGGTAAATTTTAGTTATTTATTTCTGAATTTAGAACTCAATGCATACTGAGTTAGATATTGTAATTAATTAGACTGCCTTATTTTAGCGAAGAGTTTGATCCAAGCTAGCTTAAACGATAAGACACTTTCCCTAGAAAGAAAATGCATTGCATGCCCAGAAAATTTAAGGCATACAATGAAAACAGATATGATGAACGAAATTAGGTGAAAAAAAAAAAAAGGCATTGTAATTAGAGAAGAATCCTACCAATGAATGGTTCCTATGAGACCATAGATGCGCTCTGTTAGCAGGAATTTTGAAATGTATATTCTTTATTTGAAATTACAGTCGTTGATTACATATGGATGATTTGGGGGTTAATAGATGAAATGTTTTTTCAGAGTGGGATGTGGTGTACTGTTCAAATCCAACATCTCCTGGGGGTGGCTACAGAAGTGCAGTGGGGCGCCTTTTCTTCAAAGCAAAGGAAATGGTTCAAGTTGTTGAAGCTCCTGACACTGTCAAAAACAGTGTCTCTTTCACTGTCTTGGGTTTCCTTGACGGAGAAGTCTCTTTGAAAGGTAGAGCCTGCAAATCATTTTTCTTTGAATGGTGAAACAAATTACTTATTGCCTTTTAGCAACTTCTATTGATGTATCTTCCTCATATGTACATTGACAGGAAAACTTTATGTCTTGGATGACAAATGGATTCAAGTTATTTTCGAACCGCCGGAACTCAAAGTTGGAGGATTGGAGTTCCGGTACGGTGGTGAGAGTGAGGTTAAGCTGCAGATCACATATATAGATGAGAAGATCAGGCTGGGATTAGGATCCAGAGGCTCTTTATTTGTATTCCAAAGACGCAAGTAGACAGTGTAAACAACTGTAGAGATTTTCTTTTGGTTCCGTGGCTTTTGTATTGACCATAATTTCATCCTAAATGCTTCTTTGCAAATTGCAATAACAATCAGCGTAATCTTTGCAAGAGTTTTGTTTTCCTTTCTGATGGCCTAGAACCATCGCTATATCCTACATCTGAATCACAACAAAACATGTTGAAATAATAATCAGTTTGGTTGAAATGGCAGATTCTACGAGTTATTAATTCTTATGGATCAGAAGCAGTATGAATGCCCCTTAATTTAGCCACCTCCATAAAGAAGTCAATTTATAATGGAATGATATATGAAGATAAACATGCAAATCCTGAATTAATGCATAAAATACATTAATATTGGACTTGAATGAGCACAAATGGCAGCGTTACATGAGGGATGGATCTAGCAGAAATTAGCCAGGGCCAACTTTAGGAATGTCATAATGCTCAGTTAAATTGGCGAGATATTGATTGAAGTCTTGAATCCGATCACGGTGTGATTTGTTGGCCAATTTAGATAACCTCTGGCGATCAATTTTCTCCCATTGTTGCAGATAACGCCTCTCAGCTGGTGTGAGATAATCATCCAACATACCAGAAGCCTCTTCTTTCCCACCATCATTATCACTTTGAGTTACATCACCACGAATATAATCTGTTGAAACCATCCTACTTCCACCTAACAACCTCCAAATGGAAGAAAAAAAAAAAAAAGCACAGATCAAAATTTTAGAATCATTGAAAACTGAAATAACAAATTCAAAGTAAAGTTTTGGCTACAAATATATGTATATGACCAACCTATTGACGGGTTGATCTTGTGCTTCTTTTTCTTCTTGAAAATGCCATCACCCTTAACATCAAGCGCCTTCCCCTTCAGCTTCAGCTTTCCTTTAACGACGTTCTCGTATGCCGACATCTTTCTCAGGGAGATTTGGGTTGAAGCTTTCTGATTCTGCTTTTAGTATTCATTATAGACTGTTATAACTTATACTATTGACGTGGTAGGCTCTAGAACCAAATTTCATTATCAACATTAAACGACACCGTTTCGCAATGGAAAATATGTAAATTTCCGTATTACCAAGTAAATAGGAGTAACTGATAATAAACGGATTACGAATGATGACAAACTCACTCTGTTCCTGCGCAATTGTTTGCGCCAAGAACTCCATTCCATCTCCAGGTCATTTCGCTCTACAGAAGTATTAAAAAATCAGTTTTAATCTTTTGCTTTGGTTTGTCTAATTTTTGAAATGTGATGAAATTTCTCAGGTAAAGGATGTAAATACACAGGCCAATCAGTGGTAAACTATCTTCCTCCATTGATTGTGTTTATGATTGAATTGTCTGGATGTTTATTGTTTGGTTTGATATTATTTTGAGCAGAGACCATTGCCCATTCGTATTTTAACGGTTGGGAAAAAGAGATCAGCTGGTGTGCAGTTATTAGTGGAGGAGTATGTTGGGAAGCTCAAACATTATTGTAGTGTTGATGATGTTCAAGTTCGACCCAATCCTAAAAACGCACGGTACTTCAAGTTACGCCTGCTTTTTTTTGTGCTTCTTTAATTCAAAATTTAAATTTTTTGAATTGTAGTGATGTGAGGGCTCAGGTTGAGGATGAGGATGCGGGGGTGGTGAACCTTATCAGCTCTGATGATTGGGTATGGTCTCCAACTTTGTTGTTTTATACTTCTAAAAGCTGTTGTGTTTTGGTAACAAGTTTTTTTTTTGTTCATGTAATTGTAGGTTGTGTTGTTGGATGAGAATGGAGTAAACATTGGGTCTGAACAGATGGCTGAGTTATTGGGGGATGCAGGGAATACAGTGAGGAACTGCTTCTTTTTTAATTGTTTTTGAAAAGTATTTAGTCTTCTATATATGAACGGATCGAATTCTTTATAAAATAGCATAAAAAACATAAAATCACGTCGCTCAGTTCACAAATTATATATGTACTTGCAGTTGTTAATTACTTTTTTATCATTCCAGAAATATTGTAAGAGATGCACCCTGGAATGGTTTGCATATTCGTTTCAGATTTCTTTTATTTACCATCTATCAGGTGGTGATAGTAGAGGACACCAAGTATTAGAATGGCAACAGAATAGTTTTTCAGTCTTTGGTTTGCTTGAGCTATTGAATTGAATTTGTACCCCCTGTTTTCTCTGGTAATGGTGTCTTGAGCTTGATGAACGTATAGAGTGTTCTTTGCTCTCCATCTTGTTTGTTGGCTTAATTTGAATGTGAATTAAAAATTTAAATGTTCTGTTTTTTTGAAGGGAGCTTCAAGGCTATCATTTTGCATTGGTGGACCTTATGGCCATGGACCAAAAATCAGAGAATGCGCTAACATCTCAATCAAGTTATCTTCGATGGTCTTAAATCATCAAATTGCATTACTTGTACTTGTGGAACAACTTTATAGGTGAGGAATATAATCCACAGTTTCATATTACCGAGTTTATACCCCTCGGTTTGGTGTTCTAGCGGTTAATAATAGAAAAGTTCTTGGGCTGCCAAGCACGTGTGCTCTATTCTGAAGCTTGCAAGAGGATCATCATATGAGAATTGCAAAAGTGCTGAAAGCCTCCTCCCAGAGTGCTGTCTGAACTTTGTTGTCTTTTATTAGCGAACCTAGTCGGTCAGATTGGAGTGAGAATAATCACAAGCAATAAATAAAGAGTTAGTTTTTCATGCTCAAATCCGTCTAGGCATTCTGATGCTTAAACTTTTAAGGGTGCATGAACTTCTCAGTGTGTTAGGGGGCCTCAGAAAAGCTTCCTCTCCAGGGTTGGGTCATTTGATATGTTGCTTTACTCATCTATCATTGTTGACTGAGAAGGGGGGACTAATTGTTGGAGTTTGATCATGTTATAATTGATCCTTCACATCCAATTGATGATAAATGTACTAACTTATCCACCACACTGCATGATTAAACTATCCATTTCTTATATCTGTTACCTTCAACAGCTATTTAAAACCTAAAGGCTTCGGCTCCATTTGTCAAATTTCATGGTGGATTTCACAAATGATGTTCACATATATTTGAAGTAGAGATGATTTTAAAGTATGAATTAATTGTCTATCAGCACAGAACTAGGTATGATTTACTTACATTATGCTCCTGATGTTCCGTGGACGTTAGCATTCTTCTCTGTTAAGGATTTTCAAGATTCCATTGATTCTTTATTTATTACTTTCGGTGCTTTTCTCTGAAAGGATGAAAGTTCACTAGTCGGAAAATTGATTTACTTCGTTATAGTGTATTTCTCTGACATTTTTGCCTTTTCTTTGGGTCATACTGTTAGGATCCCACATTGAAAGGGAAAAGGGTGGATATGTGGGTTATAAAGGCTTGGGCATCCTCCCTTGGCAAGCCGGTTTTCCTAGGAGAGTTCTATCCAAGCCCATGAAAGACTTATGGTCCAGCCCAAAATTGTTGAGTTATTGGAGTGAGTTACTATCAATTGGTATCAGAGCATGATCCTGCGCCTATGTGGCAGACTGACCCGTGGCAGGTTGACCTTGGACCCGGGATGCTACCCCGAGAAAGGGCATGGAGGCCCGAGGGAAAGGGGATCCGCATAGTCACCCAAGGGGTAAAGAGGCCGGCGGGGGTAAAAAGGCCGACGTGGACGTTGGTTGCGGAAGCGTGGTGAAATGTTAGGATCCCACATTGAAAGGGAAAAGGGTGGATATGTGAGTTATAAAGGCTTGGGCACTCTCCCTTAACAAGTCGGCTTTCCAAGGAGAGTTTTACCCAAGCCCATGAAAGACTTATGGTCCAGCCCAAAATTGTTGAGTTACTGGAGTGGGTTCCTATCACATACTTTATGTAATGTATAGATCACCATGTTTATAGCAAACATTTAAATTATGATATAGTTCTGTTATAGGTGATTGTAACAGACTTGGAGATTTTGACCCTAAAATGATATCTTATTCTCTTGATTGGATATTACTACCAGCAATTTGCATTTGAAATGTTGATAATTTTTGCTCTTGTACTACGTATTCAACAAATGTATAATGCATGTTTTACACTTTAAATTACAGGTCATGGACTATTCTGAAAGGTCAAAAATACCATCATTAGGTATTTTACTCATGAAATAAGTATCATATTTCCTTCTGTACACTTATTGTAAGAATTTTAACACATTGGTATTCGTTGGATGAGTGTTTCTTGTCTGTCAGGTTATCATGATTGTTAGACGAAGCATTCTCAAGTTGAGTTTAGCAGATTGCTGAAAGACTGAATAGAGTTGGTGCTGAGAGGCGTTCATCATCTGTTCAGTTTGACACCATGGTGCTCCTGCTACATATTGAATGTTACGTGCCGCATAGATAATGGCTTTTGCATGTTATGCGGCTTCACATGTTCTAAAAGTTCTGATAAAATCAATGTATTGAGATTAGGTGTTCAGTCATAGCTCTGGATATTCACAGTGTCTTCACTTTTGCATCTTCATTGGCAAATTCAGAGGAAACTGACAAGATTAGAAGGCAATGTATAGTTGTATCGTACACATTATATGATAACATTATTCGCTTTTTTTTTTTTGTTTTTTTTTTTTTTTTTTTTTTTTTTTTTTGTTTTTTTTTTGGTGGGGTGGGTTGGAACCGTGAAGGGTTGGTTGTTTTGATTTAACAAATTTGAAATTTATGAGTAGAACAGGAGAGCAAAAAGAACAAAGTAACCAGATGAAAATCCATTGAGCCAAACCAAATCTTGTGGCTATATTCGTACAAATCCCCCATGGAACCAGCAATAGGCCAGGAAAGTGCCACGTCATAAACAATGTCTTCATGTCCACGTGTCAACTTCCCAACTGCTAATACTTGTCTCTGTAATATCCAAAGACATGACCATGGCACACCTACGTAATTCCCTCTCTTACCTCTCCCTGAAAGAACTCACGAGCCCTTCAAAACACACGCTAATTCTATTCCCATTTCGCTCCCAAATCACGAGTTCCACTTCAAGAAATTCGAACCCGGATCAGCTTTGTCTACACAAAATGGTTCACCAGGTTCCTGGACTGGACTCCAAAGAAACGAGCAGCATTGTCGAACAAATCTTTGACAAGTACACTTCGAAGAATGTGAAGAGGAACGGTAAAGGGATCGCCATCGTTTGGTTTAGAAACGATTTGAGAGTTTTGGACAATGAAGCTTTGTACAAAGCTTGGATTTCTTCTGAAATGGTTTTGCCTGTTTACTGTGTTGATCCTCGTCTTTTCAACGCTACCTACAACTTTGGTTTCCCAAAAACAGGAGGTATCGGTATCACATTTTATATTCAACGACATGTGAGATGTAATCGGTTGTTTTATTTTGAGAATTCTATGTTTATGTTTATGTTTATGTATTTTCAGCATCGAGAGCGCAATTTCTGATGGAATGCTTGGCTGACTTGAGAAAGAATTTGATGAATCGTGGCCTGAATTTACTCATTCAACATGGGGAACCTGAGGAAATCATCCCTTCCCTTGCTAAATCTTTTGGAGCTCACACAGTTGAGTAAATGTTTCCACATTTATTTGTTAAATGATCAAATGAATGTTTAATTATTATGTTATTCAACCGTTTGAATGTGGGGATGTTCAATTCTGTCAAGTCAGGTGTATGCACAAAAGGAAACCTGTAGTGAGGAGCTAAATGTAGAAAGATTGGTCAGAAAAGGTTTGCAGCAAGTGGTGTTATCAGTTCAATCTAAAGACAGTTCTAGGATCTGCCCTAAACTACAATTAATTTGGGGTACTACATTGTACCACCTAGATGACATCCCATTTTCTCCCAGTACGATCCCAGATGTGTACACTCAATTTCGCAAGGCAAGTTTTTCTTGTTTCCGATGATATCATCTTCTGGATAAAACAGAGTTAGCTGCTTGATTTCTATTTAATGGATGTTTTGATGAAACCAATACTTTCAGGCTGTTGAAGCTAAGTGTACAGTTCGAGGCTGCATTAGAGTTCCAACATCTCTAGGACCAGCCCCCAGCGTTGGTGACTGGGGATGTGTTCCTTCAACTGAACAGCTTGGACTTCAATCACAGAAGGCGAGTTTATATGTAATATAGTTAATGAATTTACATTAAGAATTATGGTTTTATGAAAATCAAGATTGATTTTAGTCCATGGATACAGGTTTCCAGAGGAATGAAGTTCATGGGGGGTGAAAGTGCTGCAGTCGGGAGAGTACATGAGTATTTCTGGAAGAAGGCAAGATTGAACTCTCATCATTTTCCCACTTATGCTCGTTCAATAATGCAATTACTAATCTGTATTTGAACTTTTCAACATGCATATATGAATGCAATTAGTACATTTTTATGAATGTTTGACAATAAAAACTATTAAGTAGTCTATTTAGTATCAGAAACCATCATCAATTGCATGACTTGTTTTCTATCATGAATCTCTTGAATTATTAGAGTAAAGATATATGATAGTAACAATAAATGTGACCTCTGATATTGATTCCTACATACATTTACAGGATCTCCTTAGGGTTTATAAAGAGACTAGAAATGGGATGTTAGGACCTGATTACTCAACAAAGTTCTCTCCATGGCTTGCTTCAGGAAGCCTTTCTCCCCGTTACATATACGAAGAGGTTGAATAATCGAATTGACATCATTATTGCAGTTTATTTTCCAGAGCAAACAATGATACTAATCTTGAGCACTTATTCCATGTAATTTATTCAGGTAAAGAGATATGAAAGGGAAAGGCATGCAAATGATTCCACTTACTGGTATGTGTCTCTCTGACTCACAAAAATGCTTACAAACACAAATTTATACATAAAAGAATGCCCAACTTCTCTTCTTTTTTCCTATTTTGAACTTATTTTGTAAGAATTCTTTGGACATTAGCAGTTTCGTCAAACCAACGGGGCAAATTTGTGTTGGAAGAAATTTAGAATCATAGAATTTACCAATGAGAACCATGCTGTTATTTATTAATACTCTTTTTCCTGAATTTATGCTTTCAGGGTTTTGTTTGAACTGATATGGAGGGACTACTTCAGGTTTATCTCAGTCAAATATGGAAATTCTATTTTTCATTTAGGTAAAGAGTGTAACAAGTTTTAACTCTATTATTATTGATTCGTATTAAGTAACTAAACAGCAAAACTGTTTTCGAAAGCACCTATATAAATTTTTATCATATATGAAATTAGTTTCAAACTACTGTCAAAGTGCATTCTCCCAGCTATTCTTTTACATGTTTTGTGACTTACTTTGTGTAGGCGGCCCCAGAAAATTGGAGTATAAATGGAGCCAAGACCAGAAATTATTTGAATCCTGGAGAGATGGCTGTACAGGGTATGTTGTCTAATCCAACTAGTAATCTTCCATTTCGAAAATGTATATCTTGTTGACATCAAAATTTCTACAAATTTACCACCGTATTATCTTTTCGCATTTCTGTTTCCATTAATACTAGTCTTAAACTCCAAAAATTTACAGGTACCCTCTCATCGATGCCAATATGAAGGAACTATCAGCTACTGGGTTCATGTCAAACAGAGGACGACAGGTAATAAACAAGCCATAACTTGATGTTTACTTCCATATTTTGTTTCCGGAGAAATGTAACTCTTTGTTGCGTTGCAACCATTTTTGTTATTGTTTTTTCTGCAATCTTTAAGTTTCTAGAGTGACAATGTTTGTTCAGATAGTGTGTTCCTTTCTTGTGCGGGATATGGGGATTGACTGGCGTATGGGAGCTGAATGGTTTGAGACATTGCTACTGGATTACGACCCATGTTCCAATTATGGAAATTGGACCTATGGAGCTGGTGAACCATCTTTCTAATATCTGCTTTACTTATAATGAAATATTCTACGACAGGATCTTTGAGCTAACAACTGATTTTCTATTCTTTGAAGGGGTTGGAAATGACCCAAGAGAAGATCGTTATTTCAGCATCCCTAAGCAAGTAAGGAGTTTTCACTTTAACTAATCTTTTTCTCTGTTTAGAAACAACCCCATAAAAGAGCTTGGAATAGAGTTTTATAAAATAAACATGTTCATTCGTGTTAATTTTTTAGGCACAAACATATGACCCGGAAGGTGAGTATGTGGCATACTGGTTGCCAGAGCTACAAGCACTTCCAAAAGAGAAGAGAAATTTCCCTGGAAAATCATATATTGAGCAAGTTGTACCTCTCAAACATGGGAAAATGAACAGCCAAACAAGTCAAAACACACCCTTAACTGGGAGAAGAAACAATTTTAGAGTAAACAGGCGATGATAGGCTATAAGTTTTTTTTTTTTTTTTAAGTCCAATAATTTAACAAGGTATCAATCAAGTGTTTGTATTTTTCTCTCTTTTACATATATATTGAGACTTTTGAAGAAGCGGGCAGGGCACACTCATTCAAACGCTTCAACCACCCAACTGTTGTTTCATTTTGGGAAATGCAAAAACTTTACCTGATTTAAGCAGACTGCAGAATACTAATCTTAGCATTTCAACATAAATCATGAGGAACATTAGGCACAGTCTCTAATTATGGAAAACATTAAGTATTTTTAATACAATCATTACATCCGAAACGAAAGGGTGATCACCAAAGCTAGGTGATGAAAAAATTAATTTTACAACATATAACACAAGGACAGATAAAGTTCAAACCACAACAATTACAGAAATTGCACCAGATGGCGATGTGATTTGTTGGAAACTAGAGCTGTGCAATATAGATGTATGATAATATAGTTCTTGTATAAGTACCCAACTGTATTCTTGTATACAGAGATATGTGTGCTGTGCAGTTAAGCTGGACAAATAAATATAACATATTCATAATAAGAACTTTCTAAATTTTCGGTATATAATCATTAGGAACTTTCCAATTCGAGAAATATTCATAATTGCACCATTATGTATACTTACATGAATTCTGGGTGACAACATTCACAAGTGCTATTTCAAATTTTTTTTCCTCCCAATTGCAATGTCACCTCTCAGCTACACAAGTAAAAAGCACATAACAAGATGAAAAGCAAGTTAATGCATCGTTCAACATGGCTAAAACACTGTACCAAAAATGTAATAACAAAATATAGAAGAGTTTGAGTGTGTCGATACATTCATTTTTGTATGCAAGTAATCATTCTATGATAGAAACATCATTCTGTTTATTACAATCGTTACAGCTCACCAAAATATTCCAAGAAAGATATTGAGTACATACCAGCTCCACATACGCTAGATGACTTAAAATTTCATCTGTATCACGCTCCTGGAGAGAACATAAAGGATAAAAATCAGTATATTTCCAGACAGTTCTTCATGGATAGACAGAGCACTATCAAGTTGGTCACACTGCAAAAGACAAAGGGAAAAATGATCTAATAGGGAGAGAACCAAACAGACATTGCTTGATAGTGTGGCAGATCATTTTACTAGCCACAACGAGATGTTGCTTAAATTATCAATGTATGACACAAATCCAATGAAGGGAGAGAACCAAACAGTCATTGCCTAATGGTGTGGCATATCATTCACTAGCCACATCAAGATGTTGCTTAAATTAACAATACATGGCACAAATCCAATATAAGTAGAGAACCAAACAGACATGGCTTAATTGTGTCCTAAACTAACATGCATACTGAATTTTGCCCAGCAATGTAAGACAAAAGAGAAAAGAAAACCAAAATTCACCTGAGGGACAGCACAGTCAGAGTGGGTTGGGTCCCAAAGTACAGCGCAAGAACAATCCCAGTTATCAGTTTGAACTGAAAAAAGTGGTGCCCTGCAACTCAAAGACTTGACTTTCAAAACCCGATAAAATCTAACAAGTAACAACAATTTATATGAAGCATAAACTCTACCCTATAAGAAATAACTTTAAACCCTTTTCCTAAAATCACCAACTCCAAGATTGAATCCAGAACCTAATACAGACTTAGTAAGAGAGAAAAACCAAAGACAACTATTCTTATCAAGTTTCTACCTGCGCCATTTTCCACATATGGTTCCTTCAGTACATTCTCTTGTATCATAACGAATTTCTTGACATTGAAGCCAGTTACTCATGTAACTGAGCTTGGAAAACTTTCTCCTTACAGCTGAAGGAACAACCTTGGCTGGCTCCAGTTCCAATGGCTCACCAATGCTATCAGCATCACTGCAGCACAAAAATAACGTCACAATGAAAAAGATATGACTAGAAATGTGTTTAAAAAATACGTGTTTAGCAAATTGCTATTAAAACATGTGCCTATATTTTGAGTAGAAAAAAAGAACCAGACAGAAGAACAAAAGTAAGCATTCCATCAAATATCTCATGGTGGGGAAACTCATCTGTCAAAAGCAACCTCAGCTTCCTCCAAAGTACTTAGGAACTCAAACTTGAGATATAAGCCATGGCTGTATACGTTTTGACCAATAAATTCATTTGGCAACACATTTCTCAATTCTAATTAGATGCCTAAATGTCCATCACAATCTTCTGTGATTAGATAATAAATTCAAATACAGAACTTAAGACGTAAGAGTTTGGGAGCATGAACAGAATCAACAAGACACTAAAGCTAAAGCTACCATATTGTACAACTACCTCAGTGATCTACAAGTAGAATCCACCTACCTTAAAAGTAATACTATTTTTTCAAGTACTAATTTCAATTATCCAAATTTTATCATATTCCTTATAATCCATGCTTATAAAACAACAATATGTATTATAACATTGTTAGACTATAAATACTGAAATATGTGCTAAGTGGCACATGAAATTTCCATTCTTGAACTATGCACATGCATTCTAGGTTAACTCAAGAGTAGATCTAACAAATAATACTCATAAATATAACACAAATGTCACTCAAATAGCTAGACCTTTCCCATTTGTCCCTCAAACCACTGGTTGTGTGTATCCACCATCTAGAAATGACAAATAGCAAAAGAAGAACAGGCAGCAAACTCATATTTAGCACCAAAATAAGACATACCTGGAAATTCGATCAGGCCAGTCAGGAACTTCTGCTTGAAAAGCTTGGCCAATTCTAACACGAGACCTATATGGCTCAGGGTATTTCAACATTAATGCTATTGGCCCCATTTCAAATCTAGGTATCCCATTTCTCCAACCACCAATGCCTGGCAATTTCCTCGAAGAATTCTCCCGTGAAGCTGCATCATTAAATTTTGAACAACGATAGCAAAGCCAATCGTCAATTGGCAGTATCTTTATTTTGGGATTGCAGCAAGATGCATGAAATGCCTCATCACAATGATCACAAAGTAACATATTTCGTGTATCATCTGAATTGCCACACAGCTTACAAGACTCAACACTTCTTTCCATAAAAGCTCTCAAATCTTCTGCAGAAGCACTACTTCTTACCGAGCAAACTCCTCCAGCTGCATTTCCACCATAATTTTTTAGAACAGAAAAATATATCTCCCGTATTGAGAGATCTTCATCTACCACCTCCGTCTCTGGCTTCGTTGAAGGCTTGTTATCAAAACTAAGCTGTTTATTACAAGTTACAATTTGATATTTAGAATCAACCCCAGAATTCAAAGAACATTTAACTTCTAAACAAGGATCGCCACGAAGCCTTTGTGGATGATCAAAAGCACCACAGTCCGAAGAGCACGCCTTTGCGACAACAGGAGGAATAACAACACTACTTTGATGCTCAATTCGAGTTTCTAAAGGACCCTTCAACACTTCACCTGTGTCTAGCTGGCCCGGAAATACAATAACAGAATTTTTCTGAAACTTTCTTCGCTTGGACAAAAGATTTGGTCCAGAATTCACACACATATTGCAAACAGTCAATAAGTCCGATCCATCCTTAGAAATTCCACCACATTCTGAACAATTCCGCCACGTGTTAGCATGATTGGAAGCAAAAGAAATGGATGCTTCAACTGAACTTGAAGTAGAACCCCGTAACAACATTTTCACCTGCACCAATATTTACATTTCATTCAATTTAATACCAAAATTTCACGAATAGATCAATACCATTAATCATTTACAGTATTTTAATATCAACAACTATTTATCAAGCAACATGCTGCATAAATCAAATTTATCAAAAAAATAAAATAAAATAAAAGTAACCATTAGATCATCTATCACAGTAAATTAAAGCCACTTAATTCTCTCTCAAAACTTTCATTACAAAGAGTTAATTGTCAATCCTACTTAAATTAGATTAACGATAATTATTTTGCCAAGCAAAAACACTGATTGTAATTTACACGAAACTGCAGAGTATCAGATACTAAAAAAAGTAAAAAATAAAAATAAAAATCCTCCATGTTTTTGAGAAAACTAAATCAGGAAAATAGAAAATAAAATAACAATAATTCGGAGTGGAAAATATTATAAATGAAAATGAAAATCTCAACTGATCGAAGAAAAAAACAGAAATAGAAACTTCTGTTCGAGATTTACCTGGAAATAGAAGGACTATTTTTATTAAAAAAAAAAAAATTTTAAAAGGAAGAAGAAGAATAAGGCCAAATAAATTTAATTTAATTAGTTAAGCTTTGTAAATTACATAAGTTTGTGAAAGTTATTTAATTGTTTATTTGAAAGCAGGAGGCCAGCGCACACTACCATAAAATTATTTATTTAAAATGAGTGGGCACCTTGATTCGATTTCTCTATTGGCGCCACGTCGGATAAGCATATGAATAAGACATACACTTGAGAAGTACAGTTACCATAACCTTTGTAATTTTGGACTGACCACCGCGTTAATTTAAAAAAGAGTAAACTACTGTTCCCACGCAAGGTATTGCGATTCTACGGGTTCTCACCCCTGGCTACAGTAAGATTGAGTTGTTACTCAATCCAGTTTATTATTTCGGTCAATGGTCTAGTAACTGAATACATACATATCGAGAATAGCTGAGGTTGACACTATTTCTGTATCTCGATCTCGATGAGATAATAGATGATGAAATGATTAGATTGTATGACAACCATATCATTGACAGGTAGCTACTTCGCTGAATCCGAATCTATCGGGTGACCATGATACCTTGCTAGGAGCCAATCTTGATCTGTGTGTAGTGAGACAATTAATTGGTGTTAATCGCGATACTATACACCTACGGGTCACACACATAGAAGATAATTTACGAATCAGTTTGTGAGAATGGCGTTTTCGTCTTTTTAGGTGAAAGGGTATATTGGTAATCTCACAGTGCAATTAAATTTGCCGAGGTTATTGCCTTTATTTAATTTAATATTAAAATTAAATAAGTGAGATTATATTTAAATATGTGTATGTATATATTTAAATAAATTATTGTTATTGTTAAATGTTAATATATATATTAATTGAATTGAATTGAAATAATAATAATTAAAATAAAAATATCTAAATGACGCTGTTTGGACATTAGGGTTGTTTGGGTTGGTGCCTAAGCCGTGGAATAAGGTTTCACATGCACTATATAAGTGCATGTGTTCCATGAATTAAAATAACTATTCATTAAGTCTTTAATATGCATTGATTGAAAAAGTTCAAACCCCTTCTCTCTACCCCACGCCACTTTACATTTGATTCTTGTTCTTGGTTCTTAAGGCTAAAGAGGATCTAACAAATCCCTCTTTAGCTCTTAGGATTATCTTCGTATGGACTACCCTTGGTTCGATCCTACTCTTAGATCGATAGTAAAACCCATTCAGAAACAAGTTTGAAGGAGCCTCCAAACATGTGTATGAATTCTTAACTCAAATCTGATTTTCATATTTCTGCAGATTTTGATTTAACGTATAAATTGTAAAATTTGTACCCTGATCTTGGTTCTAAGGGAACGATCCGTGTTATATAATTTTTGTTCTCCACTGCCATGACTTGATTGTTTCCTAACAAAAACTCACTAACGAAGTTGATTTAAGGATAGGAATTTGGAATTTATGAAACCAAGGGTGGGAACTTGCAGATTCGTGAAACCTTGGGTGGGAATATGTTGTTTATTCTTTAAAAAATGGAGGAGGAGCCAAGGCAAGGAGCGGTACAGCATTTGCCCCCAACCGCCAACCTTTTGTTTACTATTATTACCCTATCCTATCTTAAAAACCTAAAAATGCATTTGTTTCAATATTTTCAAAATCCAATTCTATTTTATTCAAGTCTCAAAACCTTAATAATTACATTTTTCGTAAAGATAACCCAACTCAACTCAAATTTACTTTTTTCAAAATACTATTCTAAAAAGTATCAGAATAGTAAACCAAACGGAGCCAATTGGCTAATTTGTACATACTTTGATTAATATTTATAGGTGACTATTGACTAGCATAACATCCTACTATCGTGATAACCCCTTAGATTATAGAAGCAAGGGTTGTAGAATCTAACAATAACATTTACAATATATAATTAATTCATATATTTGTAATGACTAAAATAAGTTAGGGCCCTTTACTATACAATTTTTCACTACTCTATTCCTTATTCTATCCAAAATACACATTTATTTCCTTATTCTCAAAATATTATTCTATAATTCTTTTTAAACCCCCTAGATCTGTTAATTAACTAAACAACCCCCAATTTTTTTTTTTAGAAATTAACAAAAACACCCCAACAACCCACATTTGCTAGATTCCGGCCACCACCGCAGGAAGCTGGTTAGAATCTAGTATAATGGCACACTACCGGCTGGATCTGGCCGATAGTGCACCGATCTAGCATTTTCCAGTCAGATCCATGGTGGATCTGGCCGGAAAATACCATAACTCGATACGGCCACCCTCCGACAGTGGTGGCTGGCTGTCGATATTTAATGGGTGGGTGGGGGTGTTTTGTTAATCTTTAATATTTTATTATAGGGATGTTTAGTAAATAAACAAACTGAGGGGGGTATTTTTGTTAATTTTTAAATCCTACATCGTAATAACCACCTAATTTTACTTTTTTCAAAATATTATTCTAAAAAGTATCAGAATAATGAACCAAGTGCACCCTTATCTATTGCAGCTATAGTTACTTGAGTGGTATTACAGAATATATATATTTATATATTTTTTTTCTATTTCAATAATTACATTATAAAATTGGAATTGAAATCACAATCTTAAGTCTCAACCAACACGATCGTTGATATATCAACACTATATTAATAGTAAACAATATAAGAATATGTGTAATAATATTGTGTCTCCTATAATTAATATGATATTAACACATAAACAGTCACAACAATTATAATCTCAACTTGGTATATACTCTCTCTCTCTCTCTCTCTATATATATATATATATTTTTTTTTTTCTATATTTCTTTTATAAATAAAAGTAAATTAAATAATTAACTTTTTTTAATAAAATTAACATGTGATATAATAAGGGATGGCAATTTTTCATGTGAGATGGGTTTAACTTGTTCTCACCTTATTTTGAGTGTATTCGCATATGTTTATGAATGAGTATTTAAGTTTTTCTTAAATCTTTAAATCAACAAATATACCTAACAATTTGACCACATGTGTCAAAGTGTTGAATATGTTATTTTCCACGTTTGTTACTTACTCCAAGCTACAAAAGAGGAATTGTTATATTCATTATAAGAAAATTATAAACTATCCTTAAAGTTTGCAAAATATATTACTAATACCTATTTATCTTATTAAATGGACCATTTGCTCGAATTGACAAGATCGTGCAATCAATCAATTCAAAGAAGATTCATTATTGGCAAGGGCCGCTCGAGTGGGTTTCGGCAGTGTAAGTGTGTAACCCCAATGCTTAAGTTCGACACTAAAACAAAAGGATTATAATGTACCAACAAACCTCTCTTATAAATTTTTTCTTCCTGACGTGATAGTTCACAATTAATCAGTTTATAATTAATTAGTGAAATTCATGCGTGACTCATATTGGACCCGTTATAAATTGACTAATTATAAACTGTCATATCAGGGTTGTGAGATAAAATTTATGAGAGAGGGTTGTTGGTGTAGTATTATTTAAAACAAAAACAACATAAAAAGAGGTTTTATGCATAATATTATGACCATACCTTAAACTACCCATTTCGAGGATTCATATAGGTTTTTATTTTATTTTTTTTATTATATATGGTTGAGAGTGTCCTCGTGCACCTTAATTAATCCTTGGAACCCTCAAACTACTGGTCGGGTAAGAACTCTAATAACCTGTAATGACTCTCTTTCTCGCTAGTATACTCGTAAAATAACTTTTTACCCTTAATGCAAGTTTAAGGTATTTTCTTCACATTTTCTCAAAATAACTTTAACAAAAATCAACTAAGGGGTATAAAAACATAAATTAAATTACGTATCTCCATGTGGGTGTTACATAACCACCTTTATTAGCAGTCGTAGAGGCGTATACTAATCCCTTAAGACTCTGGAACTACCGATCGGATAAAAGCTTCAGTGACCAACCTAATTAGCAGTCGTGGGACTTGAACTTCGGAGATTATGTTAGATCCTCCTTTTGTTCTTTTACAATTAAAGGGACTCAAACTTGGAAGACCATATTATATATTCCTTTGCTATTTTATCATCAAACTACCTAACCACGGTTGATTCATATAGTTAATGTGAATAGACATTTCAAGGCTGCATGTCATATTTTGGAGGCGAAATGGTGCCTAAGGTGGTGGTTGGTGCTTATTTTGAAGATTGATTGGTCAAAAGTGATGAACAAGTTAATCTCCCATAAGTTTCTTTAAGAAAAAGACAAGCTCATCATAGGATATTATAATGGGTGTGTTTGTTTAAATTATTTTGAGTAGTATTTTTAAAAAAAGTTGAGCTGGGTTGTTATTAGGAGAATAAGATTTGAATTTGAAAATGTGTTTAGTAAGATTATTTTTTAATCCTATATATTTGTTAATTTAGTTAAACACCCTTACAATAAAAGTTTTAAAATTAACAAAAACACCCATACTTACCCATTAAATGTCGACAGCCAGCCACCACCGTCGAAGGGTGGCTAGAAGTCGTTGGAATGGCACATGACCAGCTGGTTGGGGGCGTTTAGTTAAATTAACAAACCTAAGGGGTTAAAAAAATCTAAATATTTTGAGTTAAATAGAATATGATTGAATTTTAAGAATAGTGAAACAAACATGTATTTTGAATACAATAATGCTACGGACACTAAAGACCTGCACCAAAATTTTTCATCGAATGACGTATCAATTGAGTCGACACAGTCACGTAGCATATTAACAAATATTATGGATGGACGTTCATGATTATTGACGGTCGTTCATTTTAAATGGACGTCTGTCCATATGAGTCTATTTACTATGAATGAGCGTCCACT